AACCGCTGCCTCCCCCACCATAACCGCTGCCTCCTCCGCCGCGACCGTTCCCAATCCCGGGTGGATACCTCCCTCGCGTATTCATCAGAGATTAAGCACAAATTCGGTCCGGCTAGGCCAACAAGTTCTCAAAATCCAACAATCCGCTCTCACTATTGAAGGGGATAACGAATAACGCATGAACCTTGGAGATATTATGAAAAGAATGGAGCCCTAGTTTGGGAACAAAATGAGAAATAATTTATCGATGTCGACAGCGTCTCTATGAGTGTCACACTACCAGGAATGGAAGTTCACAACTTTACGATTACTCCGTAGTTAAGCAATTCAAATAGAAATAAACTACTTATGCGTAGAAATAAACTATTTATGCCGTGTACCACATAAAACAATTTTGTTTTAGTTTTACTAAATATGTGTGTGGTGCAGTGACATACGTATGAGCTATTATAAGTTTATAAGCAACGCAGTACAAGAGCCGCCACTTGAAGTGGCGGCTTATCTAAACTCACGTAAGTCACGCAACCAGGCAATGTCAACAATGCATTACATGTAATGGGTCCCACCAAATTAAAAACCTCCCATTTTCTTTGAAGTGTTATATCTTTTTTATTTGTACTCTGATTGTTACAAAAAATATACCAAAATTCATAATTTTTTATTACCTTTCATATGACACCAATATTGAATATATAAATCAAAAAATAATTTAACATTTTAAAAATTACCGCGTATCTATTTTTAAAGTGTTATATATTTTTTATTTGTATTCCGATTATTACAAAAAATATATCAAAGTTTATTATTATTTATTATCTTTTATAGGAAAGCAGTGTTACATGTAGAAAATTAAAAATAAAATATATTAATTTGATACTATCATATTTTTTTTTGTAAAATGATCCTAAACTACACAAATTAATAGATTTTATTTTCAATTTGTAATAGTTTAGGATCATTTTACAAAAACAAAATATGATAGTATCAAATTAATAGATTTTATTTTTAATTTTCTATATGTAACACTGCTTTCCTATAAAAGATAATGAATAATAATAAACTTTGTTATTTTTTTTTGTAATAATCAGAATACAAATAAAAAATACGATAGTATATAACACTTTAAAAACAGATATGCAGTAATTTTTAAAATGTTAAATTATTTTTTGATTTATATATTCAATATTGGTGCCATATGAAAGATAATAAAAAATTATGAATTTTGGTATATTTTTTGTAACAATCAGAGTACAAATAAAAAAGTTTTAACACTTCAAAGAAAATGGGAGGTTTTTAATTTGGTGGGACCCATTACATGTAATGCATTGTTGACATTGCCTGGTTGCGTGACTTACGTGAGTTTAGATAAGCCGCCACTTCAAGTGGCGGCTCTTGTAGTGCGTTGCTTAACCCCGGTTAATCCAGCAGTATTTTGGGAATTATTTTTAACCCGGCAGTATTTTGGGAATTATTTATTTAATTAACATTATCTGAGAAAAAAACTCTTTTTTCTAATCAGAAAAGCATATTATTTATAACTCTCAGTTGCATCCAAATGAACTTCGTTTTTTCAACCATCTTTATCTAAACAAAAAAATCTCAATGCCTACTTTTATCTATTCGATTTCATCATTAGCTTACTGTTTTTTCAAAACTAATAACTACACATTTGTGCAATTTATTTATTTAATAATGGACGTGGTCATTTTGTTTGAAGATATTAACCCGTCAATGATTTAGAATTGAGTAATAATCCTTCTACCTCCTTCTTTAAGAAAAGAATTTACAATTTATAGTTTTGTAACATTCTGATTTTAATGAAGGTGATGATGGGGACAACAGGCTGACTGCATAACGTGATTGGTAGCAATCTATTTTCCTTTCATTAGATTGATTTAAAATAAGTGTTATTGAAAGAAAAAAGGTAGCATATTTTAGATTTTTAGTAGGCAATTTTTACCTAGAATGTCAACAAAATTAAATCTATAAACAAATTCTCATGTCAAGTGGTAGGTAATAATTGAAACATAAATATTGCAAACTATGCAATAAAAAATAAAAAATAAAGATGCCCCATATTTAGAAACAAAAAATGATCTCAAATCTATATATGGCCAAATATTACTTTATGAAAATCCATGAGTAAAAGATTATCCTTTATTAACAACCTAGCTTATTATTTCTCAAAAAAAAAATAGCCTAACTTATTAGTCTAGTTCTTAAACACCACTTTTAGTATCACAACATGATTGTTATATGTGTATTTAATAAAGTTTTTGGAAATCTGAAACTCTCAGCAAAAATATATCAAGATTTATATTAAAATTTAATATATAAACTAAAGTAATAAATAACTTTTACTTTCACAGATCAGATAAAAAATTGATTCCAATTAGAATGGTGAACACAAATTTGAGATAGCATCAAGACAAATATGTATTTAGCAAATTTTGACATGCAATCTTATTTTTTACCCAGATAAAAGATATTTTATTGTTTTAGTTTTATTATACTATGTAGAATGTAAGAAAAGTATTTAACGGTGCCGCTTCTGCTCTGTGACATCTAAAGAGCACGGGTTACCGGAAAAAGATGCTGATATCTAATTCAATAGTCATAGCAACTGGTACTTGTGTAAGAAACACTACTTAACATTTTTTTACATCAACCAAAGAAATGATGAACTAAAACAGCTAATATATGAATATTAGCGTCTTTCAAATAAAATATAAAGAAAGTAAAAAAACAAATCTTAAGCACAATCTAAATGACATAACATAATTGTGTCAGTCAACCAACAATTAAATGCTAGTTTTGATTTTGAGGGAATACTCACTTAAAATCTATCATTACTATGAGCTCTTCGAAAACGTTATCTGGTACATTGAAATTTAAAACACTTTTACTACTTATGCAATGTACAGTTTCATTTCCCGCAAGGGCAAAATCAGGATTTTCCATTAAGCCAATGCCCTCGAGAAATCATATTGCCGAGATGGTTAGAGAAACATAAGGGCCGGGTATTCTAAACGGCTCTCGAATGTTATTTACACTAAAATTACAACCAAAGTTGATGTATTTGATAGATTCAAATTCTTTCAAAGTCACGCCCTTCGTCTTTTAAAATTTATCTAAGTAAATAATAGAAATGTGAAAAGCCATAAAATTTTAACAAATAAGGAGTATTGAAAAACTTGTAAAATTTTCAAAAGCAAAAAATAGTAAAAGAGAAATTAAACATTGATTTTTTTTTAAATTACATGTAAAATTTGCTAAGCATTCAAAAAAAATTAAAAACACATTCTATATTTTTAAAATGGGCTGTAAAATTTGAAGTATTTTTCCACAAAACAGGTACAATTATTTTTAAGTATACAAAAACCATTTTTATTTTTTAAAATTGTAATTTTTTGCACTTCTCGAAATATTTTTAATTTCTTTACATTTTGATTTATAATTATTATTATTTTCTTTTCAAGATAGTTATGTATTCCTGATTATCTCATATTCTTACAACTTTTACATGACTAAATTTATACTTCCTTGAGTTCCTTCATTCTTTAATTATTTCAACATTGTGATTTTTGCACTATTCACACAACTTACTTTGATCACGATTTTCTACTGATATACATAATCAAACTATTAGGTACAAAAGGTTATTAAATTCCTATTAGTGTGAATTTCTAAAATATCAACTTTTTATAATGTTTACTAATACAATATTATGTAATTAAAAATTATTATAGTAAAAGTTTTGTGTTGGCAAACATGAAAGTCAAACTGTTGCAATCATTAAAGAGCGAAGAATAATACTCCGTATTATTTAACACTAACTAGTTATCATTTTTTTTTTAAATTTTCAGTCTTTTTCAAGATGGTTAGAGAGATTCAAATTTGGTAAAATGAGTGGATTCATTGTATTTTTAATATGGACAAGCTTATGTGTCATTCATAAATCATAGTTAATGTATGTTTGGCCGACTTAAACCCCTACTTTTTAGCTTATATATGGAGTACTATTTAAAAAGTCCTAAAAGGTTCTAGTTGTTTGTTTGGTATGACAATTTTTATGAGTTTTTTTTTTCATAATAAAAGATTTTTTTAGAAGCTACGATGAGTATCATCTTAGAAAAGTCTAGCTATAGGCTTTAGCCTTAATTAGTCTCAACAACTTGGATACCAAACATAACTAAATCAAACAAATAGTTTTTTTTATCAAAAAGTTAACATCCTTTTCTTTTAAGATCTTTTCAGTCACTAAAGGCTAACAATTACTAAAAAATTTAAAAGATATCTTTTCAACTAGTTATGCCAAACATACCCTTATTTGTGTATTGCTCCTTCAGTAATAGATTTGAAATAATACAATGAGTTATTTACGCTCTGTTAGCAAATACAAAAGACAATATATAAAAAAGGATAATATACGTACTTTAATTATGTATAACCTTTAATTGATGGGGAAAATTCAAATATAGCTTTTTTATTTATAACCTTTAATTATGTATAACCTTTAATTAATGGGGCAAATTCAAATATAGCTTGTTAAACAATTGTCAATATATACTCAATGCATATACATACTCCAATTATTCTCCAATGATACATAATCTATGATAATAAGATAGCTTGAACGATGTGGACATAAGCTTATAAACTCATTTGAGTTCTACCTTAATTTAATAGTGTCTCGATATTTCTCTATTTTAATGCAAATTTTTTTGCATAAATATATTCAATTTCAAAAGCTTACTTACAATATTTCAAGAAAAAGTGGCCACAAACGTTGTTTTAAACACAACTACTAGTAAAAATAATCACAATTGTTGAGAATTTGAAACATCATATCCACAATTTCGGACGTCATTTGTCTTTCATTCCATATGTTATCCTAAATTCAAGCCAAGGCAGAATGCTGCTCCTCCACAAACCAAAGTTATCCATTTCACCATTAACCATTAATGAATAATGATAATAATTGCTTCAACTATTGATGAACTCATTTCTCCATCGAATAATAGAAACTCCATTTGGTAAAACTAAATTGCTATATATGTAAATTATTGATATATTCTCTATTTGTTGATTGATTATCAAGCAGCTTGGGGGTTTAATCTTACAATTAATTAAGATGGCTTTCAATAATGGAACCCAACAAAAGTGTAAGGCTTGTGATAAAACGGTTTACATTGCGGAGATGGTTTCTCCCGGCGGCGTTGCATATCATAATACTTGTTTCAGATGCGCCCAATGCAACGGCCGACTTGCGGTATGTGTGTGTGTATATCTATATATCTATATCTATATCTATATATATATATATATATTCTCCTTGACTTTTTAGGAATTTTGAAATCTATTTTCAATTTAATATTTTTAAAATGTCTCTCTCCGTCCCATTTTAATTGTCTTACTTTCCATTTTAGGTTATCCCAAAATAAGTGTCATATTTTTTTTAAATTATGTGGTTCACAACATTTCACTTTATTACACTCAAATCTCAATCACATTTTTTTTTTTACCTTTTAACAACTTTATTAATAATTGTGTCAATCCAAAACAAGACACGTAAAATAGGACGGAGATAAAATACATTACAAAATATTGGTGAGAAGCATCCCCATATCCTTTCACATTACAATTATAAATGATTATCAATTTCAGTTGAGCAATTATTCCTCCATGGATGGGGTGTTGTATTGTAAGCCGCATTTTGAACAAATACTTAAGGAGAAAGGGGTTACTGTAAGGTCCAATTCAAGTTAGTTTTTTCTCTCTTTTTTCTATTTATTTTCCTTCTTCTGTAATATATAGCTATAGCTTTTGAATAAGGCGGTGAGTTGAGAACCAATTAAACAATGGGCATGTGTTTAAATTGTTAACCTATCTATGTATGAATAACAAACCTTTGAGGTCAAAATCAAGTACGGTTGTTTTGTTTCGAAAAATATTTATGAAAATTACGGTGTGAATGTCACATATTTAAAGAAAATTCTGTAAGTACATATAAACTTATATTACATAAAAAAAAATCAAACAAGTGATATGGGCAGTGGCATCACATTGAGTTAGTTGAATGTAAAAGTGATATGATTCGTTAAAATGTGATGTTGTCGCATGATTCTTTTGTAACACTTATCCTAAGAGTGTGTACCTTTAACAAAACTCTACATCCAAATTGATGCCCCAAAAAATGGTCAAGAATTACTTACAGAGTGTTACATGTCATTTTAATTTTTAAGTGGGGGATGAAACTTTGATACGTTTTTTGGATGAAATTAAAGTTAAGTATATTAAAAATTCATTCAAAATTAAACCATGCAATGTATCAAAAAATCTAATAAAACTAACTAAACTAGCTACTCTAACCTAAAATAGTATCTAACGCCTGCCACTCACCTTGTGACAGGGGATAGGAGGAGAGGAAATATTTTTTTAAAAGTCTAAAAAAAAATATCATACTAACACGAGACAGACCCCACCTTGGTATCAATCAGTCCATGAAATAAATAAAGTCCACAAAAATAAAAAGAGAGATGCCCACATACCTTTCACACACGGCCCAAGGGGTCCAAGTCAATAAAGCCCCATTACTTAAGTTGATGCATTCCAACGGCCCAGTAATTGCCAAGTATTGTTCAGTAAGCCCAAGTAAAAAAATCAGGGTTGGGTCCAAAAAAACGAAAAAAGAAAACTGAATCAAATTAAACTAAACTGCAACCAAGTAGAACCAAACCGCTAAAAAACTGAAACCGAATGTAAGAAACTGAACCGAAGTTGTTTGGTTAGGTTTTGGTTTTTACCATTCAAACCAAACCGAACTGAATAAACCGAACTAATTAAAATATGAAAATTCATTTGTTAATTGTCAAGCACTAATCCTAATTAATCCTAATATCATCAATGGTCTTTGGTTTTCTTGGGTTAGAGAATTAATTTTTGTGTTATGTTTAGCTTAGTTTTTAGTTTATAAATGTATCTACACATTCATTGCATATAATAATGTAGTTATTGATATATTATGTCTTTTATGTATGTATGTTGTTTGCTTGATGGTGATATGTTTTTACTGGTTATTACTTATAAATCATAACTAGTAATTGATTAATTTTTATTTTTATGTAACTTAAAGTTTTTATATTAATAAAACAAATAAATATTCATCTCCACTGTATCACATAGGACATATCTTTATAGGGGTGAACTCACTTACAAACTAGTCCTCCCATGCTAACCTACAAACTGTGCATTTTTACAATATTTGTATTGTATATTGAAGTTCAAAGTATTGCATATTATTCAAGCCATAAAAATAGCAGTTTCATATTTACATTATTTGTATTGCATATTGAAGTTCAAAGTGTTGCATATTGAAGTTCAAAGTGTTGCATATTATTGAGTTTGTAGGTTAGTATATTAATCATGGTTTGTATTAGATCTCTAATATATATTCATGATCTTTTTTTAAACTAGTCAGAAACAATGTAAATTAAGAATATATACACTTATATATATATATATATATATATATATATATATATATATATATATATATATATATATATATATATCTCACACACTCATATAATTGTAGACATGTTTATTTCTTCTCGTTATTATTTACTTTATTCTAGGATGTTTGCATTTTTATGTAATATATTTGTTCCCTCCAACTATTATACGACAATATCATTTTAAATCAAATGATAATTTTTAGTAAAACCCCCAAAAAACCGAATCCAAACCAAAATAATTAATCCAAACCAATCAAACCATGGTTTCTAGTTTTGAAATGTAAAACCGTACCAAAATGAACCGAACCTACTACTTTGGTTCAGTATTTGATTTTTGGTCAAAACCGGACTGAAAGAACTGAACACACCCGTAAATCCGTAATCCCAAGTAAATATAGCCTACTTTCATATGTTTTATTCTATACAATGTCACTTATTAATAATGGGCAACACTTATAGAGAGAAATATGTAACTATATACCCTTCTATTGTTAACTAATTGATCATTTTTTTGGGTGTTGGGTTGTTGTCTATTATCACGAGAAGTTGGGAAGCAAGGCGATTTGGTACGAACTCATCTCTTTACCTCTTTTTTGTTTAATATATTGATTTTCACTCTAAGGACATGTTTACTTCATAGGCGATTTGATACAAACTCATCTCTTTAAGACATGTGTTAGTATGCAGTATATAAAATTAGCAGTACTATAAGAATATATATTTACTTCACATGATTTAAAATAAGGTGTAAGGGTATATGGGGAAACTGAAAAAGTTTAAATTATTGCTTAATTAATAAATGGAGGTGGTATATTTAGTAAGCGTCACTTTAAGCACATGATTGATGAGTTACTAAACAACTTTTTAAGCAACATATGTGTTTATTTCACATGTCTTACTAACCTAACTATGTTTTTCGATATAGTCTGATCTGCATTAAATTTATATGACAACCAGGTTTGTTTTAATTTTTTCGATCGATCTGGTCGAGAAAAATAATTTTGGATGTTGTATTGGGTTATCACCATACTTGAAATACTATTGGACTAATATTATTTTTGCTCTAAATCTACCCGTTCAAATTAATATTATTGTCGGCCTGCTCTAAACCCAATACGTTATACACTATATCATCACCATCATAATCATCTTCATCATTATCATCACCACCACCATCATCGTCGTCGTGATCATCATTATCATTATTATGATTATTATTATATTAGTACTATTATTATTATCACTCTTATTACTATTATTACAATTACTATTATTATTATTATTATTTTATTGTTATTATTGTTGTTGTTGTTATTATTATACTTTGCATACACACTAGCTATAGGACTAGACCTTCAATGATATTGGACTTAACATATATTGCATGAGTTGAATATTATATTTTAACCCAGGCAAGGACCCCTAGCAAACTTTCTTCTGCATTTTCTGGAACCCAAGAAAAGTGTGCCGTCTGCAAAAAAGTTGTGTACCCATTGGAGAAGGTGAGTCTTATTTAATTAAGCGGCATTCTTTAGGAAACATTAAAATTAAATTTTATTAATATTTGACATTATTATTTATCAAGTATTCAATTATTGAATGATGAAATCATTGCTATGTGAAATGGTGGCAAATATTTAGAGGACAAAGTAGTAACTAGAAGTATTTATTAGGTGATTATTTTCCTTATTTTAGATGTTCTAAATCTTGTTTGTAGTTACATTTCCGCATGACTCTGTGAGGTTTTGACCAACTAGATGTCACGTGTATCCCAAATTCTAACAATCTTGTTTATAGTTACATTTCCGCATGACTTTGTGAGGTTTTGACCGGCTAGATGTCACATGTATCCCAAATTCTAACTCAAAATACATAGTATAAGTAGTGACTTAATAAATCATTTTTCCAAAATATTTGAAATTAAAATGTAGTATACAACATAGCGAAATTAAAAACACTGGGTATTACCGTCACACTAGGATCTCATTTAATTGGCTAGCTAAACCACTATCCAAAATAAAACATGCATATTCAAATATTTAAACTCCAAAACTACTTAATTGTTCACATGTTCTCAAATTCAAATTTAAATAAGCAAGGGTTTAATAATAAACTAAGTGTTCTAGAACAACTCTCATCATCAAGTACAATTATCATCACTTGCACAAAATAAAGTGCAAATAGAAAACATAAGAAAAACACAAATTAGTTTTATAGCTAAATAATACTCACTCAACCTCGTAAAATAATGTAGTTTGAGAAAAATAATTTTTCCAACTCAAAGTCCCTTTTCAAAATTCATATACTTTTCAAAATATTATCATCACATTTAAAATAACATTTATAATTCGAATAACATTTATAATTTAAAATATATTTATAAATTTTAATTAATACACATCTCCCTATCAGAGTAAATATCACTTTTCAAAACCTCTATCCAATATTATTTTATCAAAATTATAGACAATCCAAATCTCTCAATTCTTTAAAAACAGGTGAGCAGAACTCAAGATCTTTCTAGTCTAGCGGAAATGTAGGTCACAGACCCCCCCACAATTCATCCCGAAATTAGGGATCCCATCAACTACAATTTGGAATCTCAACTTTTACTCTTAAGTGGTGTTCCTAAGAGGGATTTCAAACTCTTCGAGTAGTAAGAAGATCAATTAGTCATCAAGATTTTTTTACCAACTACTCCCATAAAGGAATTAATTCTCAAAAGCGGAATAAGGACTACTACTACGACCAAAGAAAATGATGTTAACATCCTAGCGCCCAAGATTTCTACCGCAACACACCTAAATCAATCCAACCAAACCAAAGTAGTAATAGGCCAGTAGCCCTAACCCAATAGCATCTCAGATTTCTCTGGAATAAAAACCTTGTCAGTTTAAGGGCTTTTTAAAACAGATGAATCTTCCCCTACAAACACATTCTTACCCCCACGACTATAGATTGAATCATAGTTAGTGGACAAAGAAATTTCTCGTGTCTTATAACTATTATTCAAGTCTCCATAGTCAAAAGAGACTTCAGCCTTAACTTTGTCTCTTTTCTCCTGTTCTAGGGCACCGATTTCTGACGCTCCAGTAAATATAACAATTTCAATAAGTCCTAAACCCATGTACGTAATATCGTACCATTTACGTGATCTCACTTTCTTAAGGTAACACGGATTTTGAAATTTCAAGCCTTGTCTCGGGTCCTTTGTACCAAATAAATCCTAGAATAATTACTCAACCGATTGAAACTGAATAAAACATATTAAAACGCTAGATTTCGATCTTACTGAAAGATGACTATATACGTAGAGGCAATTTCTTGACACCAAAATTTACCTCTTGTGGCTTGACACCAAAATTTACCTCTTGGGATGAAACAAACACACGCGCGGTCGCGGACCACGGATGCCGTGCGGATCCTGCATGCGTCGCACGCTCTACTGTTCATTGGTCGCGCACACTGACCACACATTGATGCATTGTGGAATGCGGGTCCCGCTCACGTCACAGGCTCCCCATCTTTGATTTTTGCTCCAGTTTCGTAACACCAGTTCCGCCTTGACCCCAAACACTAAAACAAGCTTAAATGTATTACATAGGGTTCTTCCAAGGCCAAATACATATTTATTTCTAATTTTAAATTTTGAAGTATCACGTCACAGTAAGACCCCTGTTCCACAAAGATTGACCAACTTTAACTTGCACATAAAATAATAAAGTAAAACTTGTATGATTAAAATTTGTGTAGAAAGAGCAATAGTATGAATTACAAATTTGTTACTTTAAAAGGAAATGACAAACTTTTATGGACCGGCCAAATAGAAAAAAAAAATTGGCAAAACTTCTTGGAATGGATGGAGTATACATTAAAGTTGAAGTGTCAAAGTTCTTTTGTAACATACACATCTCCTTCGACTAAAGTTTGATCATGTTGTTGTAACATTCGAAGGTAATGCCACGTTATTATGATTCTTACGAAGTTGTCCAAAAAGAGTCATACTTTCTAATATTAGCAAGTTTGAACACCACAAACATCCATTAGCAAAAATAATCAATATTCCTTCTCTCATGAAAGGAGTCAAAAAGGTGATGGCTATCAAATATCAATCCCGCAATGACTAATATGGTTTGAGTTGTGGACAAAGTTACTCTTGTGGATGTTACAACACAAATTAGAATGCTCTGAATCCAAATCTATCTAGGTTTTGTGGATGCTTCTGTGCCCACGGGTACAAGTTATATTATCATTGGACTGATTAAGTTATTGTGATTTAGAACCTCCCAAATGTCTCGAGTCAGGACGTGGGGGACCCTTGGGGTTGGAGATTCAACCTTTTGGAACATGAATCGAAGTTCCGTAAATCCGTTAAAATGTCTATATAGTCCACGTGATGGTATAAAGACATTTGTGGATCCTTATGATGAACCTAAAGTGGCAAAATTAGCAAAAACAATGAGAGAACTAAATGTACTTTTGCAGTCTTACTTTTTTAGGCCTTGTTTGGTAAATGGCTGTTAGTTGTTGCTGTTAGCTGGTTGTGTCAGCTGTTTCCTAACAGCTGGTTGTGTTAGCTGTTTTGACCGGCTGGTTATGTTAGCTGATTATAAATAACTGTTTGGTAAAATTGGTTGTTTCGAAATGGCTGATAGAGTGTAAATTGAACCAGCCGAATGAAGAAGCTGCTCCCCTTAGCTTCTTCAACCATCCATTTTTTCAGCTTTTCAAACTCAACAAGCTAATTTTATAAGCCATTTACCAAATATTATTATTAGCTTCTTTGACTAATCAAACAGCTAAAATGGGTCAAACAAGCTAAAAGCTGGCTGATAAGCCATTTGCCAAACATACCCTCAGTCTTACTTTTTTACTTTACCTTCCTTTTCCCCTTTTCCCTTGTTTCTCGTTTTGTGCATCTGCAAAAAGTAATTCAATCCATAGCAGCCATAGCCACAGCCCATAGATTTTTCTCCCTTGTTTTCATCATTTCTTTTCTTTCGCTAGTTTTGCCTTTTTCCTTTTTTCTGTCCATTGAATCTTGAAATCATTATTCCGTTTTATTTCCCGTCAATTGTATATGGAAGACTTGAACCCCCTCAAATTTTGATTTTAGTGGTTCAAATTCATCTCCAGAATAATCTTTTTTGGTTAATCCAACTCGAAATTTGACAAGCAACACCAAATATTTCTTTTCCTTCGTATTCATCTTCTACTTTTTCAAACTAAGAAAGCTTCAGAATTGTTAACCTTCTTTCGTTTCTGTGCTCAGTCCCTTTCACTAATTAAATTGCATGCTTCGTGAGTTGCTTGCAACTTCCTTCATCAAAACATTTTTTTGTTCGGTTTTATTATAGTGGTCAAGATTCAAGTCGAGTTAACGGGGTCGGAAGTTTTGCAGATGCACTGAAGAAAGAAAAGGTACAAAAACAAAGTAAAATGAACAAAGAAAACAAAGTAAACGGAAGAAAACGTACTCCGTCCTCCGTCTCAAATTGATTTATGAAATCAACATTATTTTGTCAATCCTCTCTATTGGTAATTAATTCAATTTTTTAACAATTAAAATTTGCATATTCATAATATGCATATTCTGTCAATTTCAAAGTTGTAAACTCCAAATTAGAATACTATTATAAAAAATTGACATTCTAATTAAGTGAATAAAATGAAATTGTTTGACTAAATAGTCAATTTTTCAAATCGATTTGAGACCGAGGTAATATATAACTTTCTTTTTTATCATGGGAGTCCAGGAATCGAGAATGAATTTTCTCCGAGAGGGAGATGTTCTATCTTTGGAGATATAGATTTAGAGCGCGTTTGGTAATACCAAAATCAGCTAAAAACTATGAAGTTCTGGCTGAAGTGATTGGATTAGCTGCTTCTGCTTATTTATGTAAAAATTATGTTTTAAAATATTTTTATTAATAAAATAAAGAAAAAATTATATGAAAAAACAACTGAAATGATCATCGATAGTAACTTCAACCAATACAACCAGAAAAGTAACTCCAATCTTACATTTTTTAATTATTACACAATTCAGCGCGGGAAAAAAATGTTTAGTGAAAGAAATGGTCGATAAACCTGATATACCAAAAAAACATGCTCACCATACTTTGAAGTTTGAACAAATACTCCGTATTATTTTTGCGATATTATTAGTAAGTGTACAAGCCATAACTAAAGTATTTGTTGTACCTTGAAAACTGATTAATGCCTTGGAATGGTTGGAGGTACAAAACGATTTAAGAAGACCTACTTTGGATTAAGAAGCTATTCTCTTCACCTGATCTGAATGTTTCTGATCTAAATTTTTTAAGTTCTGATCTGATCTGATCTGAATTTTTCTGATCTGATCTGATCTGATCTGAATCTTTCTGATCTGATCTGAATGTTTCTGATCTGATCTGATCTGAATGTTTCTGATCTGATCTGAATTCTTCTGATCTGATCTGAATCTTTCTGATCTGATTTGAATATTTCTATGATTATAATTATAATTATAATTATAATTATTATAATTGCAATTACAGATATAATTTAAATAAAATTATAATTATAATTGTAACTATAATAATAATAATAATTAAAATTAAATTTAAAATGAAAAAATTTATACCTATTACACTAATTATAAATATAGATATAATTATAATTGTAATTATAATTTTAATTATAATTTTAATTGTAATTACTTATATAATTATAATTGTAATTATAATTACAATATTTATCTCTATAATTGTAACTATAGTTATCAATATTATTATAAGGCTAAAGGGTCAAATAGGTACATGAACTAACTTAAAGTGTTCAATTAACCCCTTATAAAAGAGTTTCTGCCTGGACGTCGCCAATTGGGGTGGTTCCCGATGGAATTTTTTGATGAAATTTTTTGAGCATCTTCTTCATTAATTCTAGTTTACCCATACCAAATTTCAGCTAAAAATTCAACCGGGAAGGTAGTCGAATTATTTTCCGAAATGTACTGCGCTGTTTAATTTTTCAGAAAATCATTCGATTGCCTTTCCGGTTGAATTTTTAGCTGAAATTTGGTCTGGGTACACTAGACTTAATGAAGAAGATGCTCAAAAAAATTCATCAAAAAATTCCACCGGGAACCGCCCCAATTGGCGACGTCCGGGCAGAAACTCCTATATAAGGGGCTAATTGAACACTTTAGGTTAGTTCATGTACCTATTTGATCCTTTAGCCTTATTATAATTACAACGTAAAATATTTACAATAGTAATAATAATAATAATAATAATAATCATAAATTATAATTATAATATAATTATAAGTATAATTATAATAATTATAATTATAATTAATAATAATAATAATTATATTAACATTAATTATAATATTATAATATAATTATAGTAATATTAATACAATTAATATTATTATAACAATATTATTATATTAATATTATTATTACAATATAATAATAATAATAATAATATGATTATTATTATAATTAGTATTATATTATTATTATAATATTATAATTATAATTATAATCATAATTATAATTATTATTGTAATTATAATTATTATAATTTTAATTTATTACAATTATAATTATAATAAATTATGGATATAATTATACAAATTACAATTGGTTATACTTATAATTATAAAAATTGTAATTGTAATTATAATTATAATATTATAATAATATTAATCATATTATTATTATTATATTGTAATAATAATAATAATAATAATAATAACAATATTAATAATAATTAATATAATAATAAAAGTGATAAATCATGTTTGAACTTTTCTGATCTGATCTGATCTGAATGTTTCTGATCTGATCTGAATATTTCTAATATGGCCTGATCTGAATCTTTCTGATCTGATCTGAATCTTTCTGATCTGATCTGATCTGAATTTTTCTGATCTGATCTGATCTGAATTTTTCTGATCTGATCTGATCTGAATAAAATAAGAATAAGCAATAAGTAATAAGAATAAGACGAACAGAACAGCACCTAAGTACTTAAATTTTTATTTCCGAACTTTAGTTAATTATTACTCTTAATATTTTTAATTATTAGGTTAGAAGTTACTGTGGCAGTAATTTATGTTTTAATAACTTATTCTGATCTTCTTTTGAGGAATATTCTAGTTTCAATTTTAGCAACTTTAGGATTCTATCCCTTGTCTTCACAACATTTTAGATTACGAAAATCCTATTCGTACACGGCAAAGTGTAGACGGCATTTTACACACCGGTCAAAATGTTTGTACAAAGACTTTTGACCGAAATGTAAAATGTCGTGTAGAATGGCGTGTACATGAAGCATCATTGTTTAGATTATTAATAAATGAGTTTTATTGAGAGGTAGGTCGCTCAATTGATTTGAGAGGTAGGTCGTTCGATAGGTTACGTGTTAGGTGATTTAAACTAGTAAAAAATCTTTTGTACAAACTTTTATTGTTTACACACTTTTATACACGTTTATGAAATTTTTGTCATGTATTCTGTTCATAGATAAAAAGATCTTCACAAGCGTGTCTACAATTGTGTAAACAATAAAAATGTGCACACCAAGAATTATTGTTCAAACTAAGATGTTAAGGAGTCACGGTAGAGTAAGTGTCCGCGTGAAATTTGTTACAATCAAGAGTAAGATTTAGAGATGGAAATAACACATTAGAGATATGAATATGTGGTATCCAAATCACAACAGAACGAAGGATGACAAAAGCATGTACATTACTAATGTACTTTATGTATGTACATAATTTGAAGTGTGATTTGGAGTATGTCAACTAGAGAAAAGGACTATGATATGATCTTCACTCCCAAGTTGAGGAGTGTTATATATGATTGAATGAGAACATTACAACCATTAAGAAGAATATATGGTTTGCAAATTATTCTAACCTTGTAAGAAATAACAAAACTCTTAATGTTAAATTATTCTATGAGAGTTGAAATCCAATTGAGTAGTTTGGAAGTGCGAATTCAGATTAATGAATGGAGGAGACACATGGATTGTTAGTTTCCATGTCCTCTTAAAATCAATAAAAGATGCACCAATTTGAAGCCAGTTTTCGTGATTTATTATGCTACATATATTATACATAGATAAATGATAGAGTGGTATTATATGTGAGATTAGGTAACCGTGGATGGATTCTTCTATCACCAAAACTGTTTCAAGTGCTCCCATGGAGGATGCAAGCTCACAACCTCTTCATACGCTGCATTAGATGGACTCCTCTATTGTAAACCTCACTTCTCTCAACTATTCAAAGAGAAGGGTAGCTATAATAATCTTAATAGGAGTAACTCCGGCAAGACGAGCGGTGCTTCGGCCGCTAACGGTGAACCTAAGCCCGGGGATTTGCAAAGTGACATTGCTAAGGACGAAGATACCGTGGCCATTCAATGAAAAATCATCTCAAAGGCCAGAGAGACTTGCATGTAATGGGAATTAAGTGAATTGAATTTTGGGGAAGCTTGACTACCTGCTTAGAGCATCTCCAATGCTATAATGTGCACGGTGCACACGTGGCATGAGAGATGACCACATAAATATCAGTAAATTAATTTTTCTCTCTCTTTATTTAAATGATTTTATACAGTTTTGGTAAGTTTTTCTCCACAATGTCAAAGAGACCGTCAAATGTTGACATTGCTGTTGACATTGCAAGAAAAAACTTACCAAAATAGTATAAAATCATTCAAATAAGGAGAGAGATAATTTATTTGCTAATATTTATGTGGCTATCACTACTGCCACATGTGCACCGTGCACATTATAGCATTGAAGATGCTCTTACATTTATTACTTTTATTTTATTATTATTTCCACAAATTGATCAATCAACAAATTTTGAAGGCACTCTTTGATGCCTTTCTTTTTTTAATTTTGATAAGAGAAAATTAGACTGTGAATATATCATATTATTATCTTCTCTGTGTAATATTGATGCTTGTATGCAGTGGCGGAATTAGGGGGGGCGAGCCGGTGCTGCCGCCCCGTTCGCTGGAGATTATATTGTAGTGCATATATATGTATATGTATCCTTTCCGATGTATCAAAAAAAAATATGTATATGTATATATTCAGCCCCGTCTCTAGAATAATGATAAATATTATCTGACCCGTGATTGGATCAACAGTTGATGTAGCACTGATGGTTAAGCGTAATACCAATTTGGGGATGACGTGGGTTCGATTCCTGTTGAACCCTTTCTTGTTTAATAATACTAGTAATTCGTACAGTAGTATTTATTATACTTCCCACCACTCCAAATTTTAACTGTTCTCTAAACTTGTTATTGTTGCACTTTTATTGTTTCAATTCAATTTACCTTTTGGAATATTAACATGTTATTTATGTTTTCTGTTTAGTACAATAATACGGAGTAGTAAAGAATGACCATTAAATATTTCTTCTCTCTTCAAACATTGACCTGTATCATTTTATAAGAAGTTTTTATCAAGAAAATTTTCAAACAACTTGAACTTTAACATAACTATTTATTCCTTGATTTAGTACAAATATGCCAAAATTTCTTGTTGTTATTTGACATATCTAACTTTATAAATATTTGTAAAGGAAAATATCCAACACTAAAATACATGACTTTTACATTCATAATATATATTTTAGTCTGTGGTGGATTAGGACCTAGAATCACATTTATATATTTTTTATTTTGCTGTGTAGATTTATTTTAAATAATTTTTTAATAGCATATATCAAATTACGTTTTTGCTATAATTTTTAATTGAGTTTTTAGTTTTTAATTCCATATATCAAAGTAAGTATTTATTATATTCTTTATTTAATGTAATTTTATCATACATCGTATTATTTAATTATTTAAAGAATGGGTAATATATCTTTAAGCAAATAATTAATATATGAGTTAATTTGGGACTCTCTATGCTTAAATATACCAGTATAGTAGTATATATGTTAAATATTTGTAAAGGAAAGTATGTAATAACTAACAAATGACCTACATAGTCCTGTGGCCGTGTGTTATAAGTATATCAAGATGGGTCATCGGTTCAATTAGCGTGAGCTTCATATTTTTATATATTTTAAAATCATACAAAAAATGTGATGACATGAAACGACAAGTAAGGATGTTTTTACTTGGACTGTAATTTGCTGGTCTGGTTTGGTCTGATCTGGTCTGGTCTGGTCTGAACTGGTCTGGTCTGGTAAGGTCTGGTTTCTTTGTATTTTTATAACTATCCAAGTCTAGTCTGGTCTGGACTGGTCTGGTCTGGTCTGGTCTGGGACAAATTACAGTCCAAGTAAAAACATTCTAAATGATGTGGAGTTGGTGATGGGGTGAAATTGGACGACGAGGAAAAAACACTCTCATTTAGAAAATAAGGAAAAAACTGGACGACAAGGAAAAAACACTCTCATTTAGAAAACAAGGAAAAACATCCTCATTTAAAAAATAAGTTTAAAAGTAGTTTTAATCGGAAAATAAGATTCAAAACTATCTTTTTTGAGAAAAAACTCTCCATTTCTGTTTTTACTTTTTAGACCAAGTTATCCCACCTCGAGGCACTACACCAAGTGCTAAAAGTTGTGCACAATTTTTAGTACTAAGGAGGCCATTAAGTACATTATCATAAATTACAACTTAACACATAAAATGGTTCATTTATAGAAGGGGAATTGGAAAAGAATAATCCAACCTTTACCCGGTCTTCATTTAACGGTCCCTTCTATCGAAAATCCATTAAAAATCCAATCTTTGCATACGATATTCCATAATCGGTCCTGACTTGGGAGTTAACCGGATGTAGAGCGTTTTTTATTTATAATCACCGGTAATCTCAGCAAAATTCTTATGTTCATAGCCCGACCCGTCTACCTCCTCTTCTTTATATGTCGGGTCCTCCTCCATTATCGCATTCTTCCTTATCTGACTGGTTCTCGACTTCCATCGCATCGTCTTCGTACGGCTGTCATCCTCCTAGGCCTAGCTATCTTCCTCCATCTTCGTTTCAACTGATTTATTTCAATGGTGGCAGGAAAAATGAACTCAGATGCTTATGGGTCATCTTCGACAACATGTAGCAGAGGTTTGGATTCAAAAATTAATTGTCACCACAATATCAAATCTGTTTTGAGAGTGGTTAAACACGGAGTGAATGCGGGAAGGAAGTTTCATGGGTGCTCTTTATGGCCAGTAAGTGTAAATTAGCAATTTGTATGGTTGCAATTGTATAGGAGGAAAAATTAGGGTTTAAAATGATTGTTTGTTTGGTGACTTTTTATTTGTGTGCATCAGGATAAGAATTGTGATTTCTTCATGTGGGAAGATAGTATGCAAACACCTTCTTCACCTGAGTTTGAAACTGGCAGCTTATTAGAGAAGCAAGCAACAAGAAGTGATGCCCTATTCATTGAGAAGATGATGTTGGAAGAGAAGATAAAGAAGATGCGTTTGAAAAACAAAAAGTTGAAAGACGAATTGCAGCAGAAAAAAGAAGAAGTTTTGCGTTATGAAATCTTAAATTCTTCTAGGAAAGAGAAGAAGTATTCGGTCTGCATAGCTCTTTCATTGTTCATATTGTCCATTGTGTTATTGTGCTTCAAATAATTATTGAATTGGTAGTATGGCAGCTTGTACCATTACCCATGTCATTTGGAATTGTAGTTTGACAATTGACTATATTTTTGTAAAAAAAATTGTTTTAACATGTTCATTCTTTCCAACATGGTGCTTCTGGTTTTGAATAGTTTTTCATAGCATTTATTGTTTGGAGATAGCAGAGAATTACTTCATTGACAAAGCCTGGATGTTTCAATGCAATGATGATTGCAGTGAGGCTTATGCTGTGACACTCCGAAAATTTAAAAAGAAAAGAAAATAAATAATTTAATAAAATAAATTATTCTATATAAAATGTTAGAGGTGACATTTGAATTACATGAAATTTTGACATTTTAGATAAAAGAGTGTTGATTAAAAAGGCTATAAGTTAGAGCTCAACTAAATCTATAATTATGTACGTAAATACGTACATACATAACTAGAAGACTTGACTTGTCAACATAATAATAATAATAGTGAGGTTAACTTTGTTTTGAAACTTACGTGAGTAATATGGAATTCTCTTTACTTAATTAATCAATAGTAATAACGTTTTAGCAAATTCTAATTCATAGGTGTTGGTAATACGTTTTTGAGTTATTTTATCATGAGCACCATTTTATTGTTACAAAGGTAATACGTAACATTTTAGCAAATTTGACTCTTCAAACTTAATTCCTACATGTACGTATATGGGATCCTTGTCAAACATATATTAATTCATAGTCCATAAATATACACCTCTATATATATGACCTGCGTGTAACTTATATACACACCTAATAAACAAGGAAAGGCATAAATAGAGAATATCGGCCGATACAGAATATTCATAGCAACTTATACGTATATGAGGAGTTAACCTGCAGTTCGGCGCATACCATGCATATATTCACGCATGGCGTGAAAATCTTTAACAAAGGAAAGGTATTAAACTGAATTCAATGCCAAAGATCCTTTAACGAGTGGCCAGAACCCTCTCTACCGAGTATAAGTACATGACCTGCTCTACACGACCTGTACCTTTAAGCATAGAGGAACTCCTGCGAAAATAGAATAGAGAGGAAAGAAACAAACGTGAGAGTTTACGAGAGAAAAGTCAGAACGACCGAATGTAATACTCTCTTCATTGAGCGAGTAGAAAAGTGAGTGGTCCCATTACCGCCGAACGCCGGGGGAGGAAGCAGCCGGATTCACCATCGCTAGAGTTAGTGGAATTCGCCGGTGAAGGAGTCGGATCGTTGCCAACGCCGCTGTACTGCCTAAGGACTAAGGACGCTCGCCGGAGTAAGGGAAACGCCACCGTGTCAAACGCCGTCGTCAGTAAGGTAAGCCATCGAACCCCCCTGCGGCCTGTGCGTTTTTCCGGCGACGGAGACGATCGCCGGTACTACGTACTCGCTAAGTCTGGGAACACTTGGGTTGGGCCGAAATTTTAATAGTAGTAATATTCTCGACTAGTTAATTTAGTATTATAAAAAAAATGCTAAACGTGATGTATGTTGGACTGACTGAATTGCTAAGTAACGATGTAATATGATATAGATTGATAGTTTCACCTCTAGAGGAATAAAAATAATTGTTAATTGGGATGTGATTGGATAATAATAATAATAATAA